AACTTGCCAATGTCAACGGCAATTGTGCCCAGTGGAAGTTGGTTAACAAATTTTTGAACATTAATCCACCGAATTACTGACTTTCGCGTTGCATAAGCAATACCTGGAAGTGATGCCAAATATTTATATGCTTCCCGAACGTGTTTTTCTTCGATATCCATTGTAGTTCCTCCTACCACCGAAAGATATGCTATGCTGAATTATATCGAACAGCTGAAAAGTTCGAATTCGTTTACAATAATAATAATGACAATGGAAATGGCACAAAGAGGTACGTCAGGAAGAAGGGACATAAAACATATAGTTTTGTGTGTTTCGTGCAATTTACTTTTTAAATTCATTAACTGTCGGAATCTTGCTCTACCAACAATATGATAACATAAGAAAACGATGGTGGCGTCCTGCAAAATAACAAGGAATATGTTCAAAAGGTTTAAATCTTTGTCATAATACGGACTTCCCAAATTAGCTGATAATTCGTAAGTTAATCTTCATTCATCTCCTTTTATATCATATCACAGACTTAATGACTGTGCTTATAATCTCATTTAAGGCGTGAGACGTAGTTGTAGCGCTGGAGTCTTCGTTGTTTTCACTCTCTTTCATTTGTTGATGCGGTGTTGGGAGGGATATTAATATCTTTTCAGTTATACTAATTGGCCTAGATTACGGAGTTATCTCATGTTTATAGCACTTACAGGGAGACAGAGGAATTCGCGGAGTTTGATGCGTGCCTCGCTATGTGCTGTAAAAGAAGCACTGCGGTGTGGCAATTTTTTTCGGTTATCGGACAATTTTGCTGTTTGTTTGCGACGACAAGCCTATGTATGCATTTTTTTTAGCTGTTTTTCAATTTTTTCATCATAATTTGTTAAATTTTTGACCTTTTAATTGTTTTATGGTTCTTGACTCAGTCAGTTTATAAGTATTTTTTCAGCCTCGTTCTTATAGCTCTGTCCCGACTACCTCGCCTGTCTACTTGAATATACCGGAAACACGGGTAACCTCACTAACCAATGGTTTCCGGATTGCTACTGAAGACTCTCAACTTCTCACTACTACGGTTTGTATATTCCTGATAATATATGTCGCCAGAATTGTGATTCTATTAAACTGCCATTAGGACTTATAGTGAAAACTGTTGAATGTCAAGTTACGAAATGTTTTTCTTTTATCACTGGTACCTTCCGTTCGTATTATCCGTCACTTCATTATATTTCGCTGATTATTCTCTTATTGCTCATTCCTTTTCTGAGTTTCCCTAACTTTTTGTTTTTGACAAATTGCACAATTCCTCACATCTACATCTGTATACATTTGACGTTATTTCATACTACTGTAAAGCTTTTTGAAGTCATAAGTTGTATTTCAAATATAACTAGCATTTGGTATTCGCTTTTCGTCCGAGGAGGAAAGGAGTAGGAGTCTTGTTGCATAATTTGTTTCATTTTACCAATAGTGATGTTTTTCTCAGGTAGGTGTTTGGATCGATGCCGGTAGTCGTTTCGAAAATGACAAGAATAATGGTGTTGCCCATTTTCTGGAACATATGGCTTTTAAGGTTATACTTTCTACATAATATTATATCTTCAAATCTGCAGAATGTTTTAAGCATAAACATAGTTGAAGTACTTCAGTAGAGTTCTGCATTTTATGTCTTTCAAATAATTTTTCACTGAAGGGTACAATGAAACGTTCACAGTCAGCATTGGAACTGGAAGTGGAAAATATGGGTGCACATTTGAATGCATATACTTCGCGAGAGCAAACAGTGTATTATGCGAAATGTTTTTCGCAGGACGTAGATCATGGTAATTGGTATTATTCTTACTTTTTTGTTGTACTAAATTTAGGAATTTTTCAAGAACCATTATTGCTTCTAAAAACGAACCTAGATCAGGATATTATAGATAGTTCGTTGTCATTTGATGACAAACGATACGATATGGTTCAGGGTTACCAGTTTTCTGCGTTATACATTCAGTCCAGTAGACTGTAGCTACATTAAAGACAGTGAGTAAAAACTTTTGCAGCTGTGGAAATTCTTGCCGACATACTACGTAACAGTCAGCTGAGAAGTGTTGAAATCGAACGGGAGCGTGGTGTGATATTACGTGAAATGCAAGAAGTGGAACAGAATTTACAGGAGGTTGTGTTTGATCATCTCCACGCTGGTGCATTCAAGGGCACCTCACTTGCAAGGACAATACTTGGGCCCGTTGAAAATATCAAGTAAGACATTCCTGTCCGTTAAACTATTCTGATATTGAAATATTGAAAAAGATTCTCCAATGCGGTGCATCTTGCTGCAGTTGGTGCTTTTTTAGTGAAGGAACTCTCAAACTAATTGCATGCAACCACAGAAGATTAATCACACGGTCTGTGTTATGGTTTCAGGTCATTACAACGTGAAGATTTGGTGAAATACATAAACGAACATTACCGAGGACCTCATATGGTACTAGCAGCGGCAGGCGGTGTTGATCACCAGAAATTGGTCAACTTGGGCAAGCAGTATTTCGGAGATTTGGGTGGTGTTGATGATAATTTCGTAGCTGAATCTGGAAAGTTTGTCGCAAGCTATGTGAGATACATTGCTTCCTTTGGTTGTAGTCATTATTTTCCTTCACAAAATTCATTTCTCTTCAAATTTAATCCACTTATTGATTTGTAGCATAAATATCAATTTGTCATCAATCATGATTTTGTATTCATAGTGATAGGAATAAAGGAGCTATTAGAAGCAAATTCTTATAAGTGAAGTTATTAAGTTTTGAAGTAATCCTTATAAGAGGAACCAAACTCTAAGAACTGGAAGTTATTACTGGTTTATGTATATAAAAATATGGAGTAATCACTCATGAGTAGTGCATCATTATGTTTTTAAATAAATGAATTTTACTTAGTGGGAATCTAATGTTGATTTAGATTAGTTCGAAATTTAGATAGCAAAAGCTAATAATGAAGGAGTTTCAGTATCACCTGATCAACAACTAGTTATGTAGTATTGAATCCGCCTTAACATTTTAATAAAGATTTTCTAGTGTTCTCAGTTTGTTGAAAATTGAATAGTCATTAATTTTCGTTAGCGCTAATGGAGTCTTATTACGATTCAAATGTGCTGATACTATAAGCTTGTTATCTACTGGTGCAGTTTTAGCAGGACATCCGAGATGAAAGGATGTCGATGGTGTTTGGTGCACTTGCTGTTGAAGGAGCTTCATGGACCCATCCTCATAATATTCCTTTAATGGTTGCAAATACGGTGAGATATTCCTTGGGAATTGAATATAATCAAACTTTTTTCATGGAATTCTAAACTGCACAGTTTTTGAAATTGTAAACTGTCAATTTTTAGTTGATTGGACAATGGGATCGAACAAATGCTGTTGGAATCAATGCGCCATCACGTTTAGCTCAAAGTTTGGGCTTAAATGCTCGGGTTCAATCGTTTCAAGCTTTTAATACTTGCTATAAAGATACGGGTCTAGTCGGCGTTTATTTCGTATGTGAACAAAGCGGAGCTCGTGCTGTTGTTGACAGTATCACGCAGCAATGGTAATGTTTTTATTTGCTTAAGGTTTTCCTTAATTATGAAGGTCAGAAAATGGGATTTAGATCAAGTCAGGATTAACCGTTTTTGTTACATATTCTGTTCTGCGAGTTTTGTTCTTCTGTTCTGAAGTTTGCGTGTTTTACTTTCAGGATTGACTTATGTGATAATATAACTGAGGAAGAAGTGGAAAGAGGAAAACGATCATTGCTGACAAATATGTCTCTTATGCTCGATGGATCCACGCCAATTTGTGAGGATATTGGGAGGTATACTTTTTTTTCTTTTTTTTTGTCCTATTAAAAAGCAAGGATGTAACTGCAGAGGAAGGAATCAGAAACTTATCAGTACTTGATTTCATTCAGTTCTTGTCAGCGGGAAAATAAGTCCTGGCCAAATGATGTACTTTTCCCTTCCCCTGTGCTTTAGAATTTTCCATATTTTTCATTGGGCCTAAATATTGCTTTCCTTAGGTAGAATCTCATTATCACTGTGGTAATCGCCTGAGTACCACGGGTTCTGCGCTGAGACTCAGATGGCTCTCATGAAAATGGGAGCGTCATTTCCTGTATGTGGTGAAGTGAGATACGGCAGTTTGGCAAGCACTCCAAGAAAAAGGTTTAAGCGTATTAGGATAGATTTATTAGGATTATTAAGATGAACGGAGTTTATTAGGCGTTTATTAGGATAAAGGTATTAGGATAGGGGTTGGCAGATGTGGTGAAGATTTTGTTGGTGTGTTGCATTACCGAAGCATTAAATTCCACGTTCTAAACTTTTGGTATACTGCACTTTTTTTCGGGTTCTAATGAATCATGTTTTGAACAGTTGTTTATTTAGAAAAGTAGGAGAAAAATGAGATTAAGAAATTTTGATTACTTAATTCTCTTCCTTGCAAACATTGGAAAGGGCTGAGCTAAAAACTTTTGAACTTTCTGCAGATTTTCTCCATTTATATTGCACGTACTTCCGATTTCTTTGCTTTTGAATGTTCATATGGAGTATACATTTCTTTTAACAGACTTTTTTCTCAAGTTAAATGGGAAAATAAACTGTTTTCTAACATTTGCTAACCCTTCTGCACAAATTAAAGTTTTTGTTATATTTTTAGTAATGAATTTAACCCGTAGAATGCTTCTCGGAAGTATTTTCCTGGTGAAAAAAGAGGTTAAAGAAATTTTCCAAATGTTTCATTTTTTCAGTCTCGCTATACAGAATTGATTGTGAAAGTTTTTTTTTGCTTTTGACCTAATATAATAATTCCACTTGAAACTTCGTATTGGCTATGTTGAATGTATGCCCACTAAAAGAATCGCTGAATTGAATGAAGAACAAACTCAAAGTAAGAAAATCTTATAATAACTGTAAGCCACAAAGAATCAATGGAACGAACCAAATCCATCAATATACATACTATCCAGATTTTTATACAAGTTGGATTTGGTTTATATTCTGTGAAGGGAAACTCGAACTCTTTGCTTTTCCTTTGAGGCAATTGAAATCATTGTTTTAAAAATAATGATAACTAGTTATTAATAGATGTAAGCTTGCCCCTAGGATCGCAGGAAGGGAATGAATAATATGATTTGTGGGCATAAAGCTTCGAAATGGTGTGAAAGGCGTGGCTTTTAATGGACTTCGGAACAAATTCGATCCATCCTGCTTTTGCTAGATGTATATAGTGAAATTGTTATTTGATAAGCAGCACGAGCTTCAGTTGTCATTGTAATCTTTTCTTGCTTCATAACGCTTCGTAAGCTACCTTATATGGGTTATCTGCTGAATGGTCCCATAACGGCGGTATTGGTGATATTTGGCGTTTTATTTAATCTCTGTACAGTGTACTTTTTAATGATTCCACGCAAGACTTTTGGTACTTATACCGATAGCCGGACAAAATCTACGCGATCCAAGAAAAGTTTCCCTCTGACAAAACGTTTTTCCAACACTCCACGACCTCTCATTAATACATACCTTCTGTGGCTTGCATTTTCTGACACAGCAGTACTGATTAGCGCTGCATTATTATATTGCATACCGGCATTTTTCATGTCACTGGGTAATTATGCTCGGTTTTTCCCATCTTATTATTTGCTTAGTAATGCATCCCTAACAGCATCTGTTTGGCTCATGTGTGTGTTAATGTTTGAGCGGTATCGTGCATTTTGTAAACCACTGGATAGTTACGTGAAACCGCAAAGGATACATCGGACCCTTTTCTTAGTATCCTTATTGGCACTGATCTTCTCGCTTCCAAGACTTTTTGAATTGTCAGTTTATGAGCTGGACGGTGAATATTATGTGAATCAAACGTTGCTTGTGGAAACACGTGCCTATATGGTTGGTTATCGGATAATCGGTGGAATGGTTTTCTATTCATTATTCCCTTACATCGTATTATTCATTATAACTGTTCGTATATGCTTGGCTATACATGCGGCTAACAAACAGCGACAAAACATCGCTACGCGTGGTGTCATTCAGTTCAGAAGCGCCGACTGCGAACTTCTCCTCATCACTGTGATGGCTAAATTTCTGATTTCACGCCTAATGCCAACTGCTTTAGATTTAGCGGAACATATTGTTAGTTCTTCGGAATTTCTTATTTCCACCACTGCTACATTTTTTGTCGACATCAGCAACCTTATCGTTGTCTTATCCAGTGCTACGAATTTTTTCATCTATTTCGCTCTCTCACAAGCCTTCCGACGTACTGTCTTTAATTCTCTTCCAAAGTTCAGCTTTCAATATACCATCTTCCAACAACGGAAACGTCATTCTAATTTACAGCATCATGCGGTCAAAGCAGTAACTGTACCGCAGCCAGTGTTAAACAAAGTAAGCAGAAGTATTGTGTCTACTGTAGATGGACGTTTACTATCTACCGTCGAAGCATGCATCTAATTTCTAAGGTAGTATTTTAAACATAACTTCTGGGAAACAATAAATCTTTAGGTTTGTCATTCTTTCGTTAGAGTAGTTATTTCATCGTCACAGTAGTTATGTACTTTTTTCACACTGTCATGGTAGTTATTTCATTTTCATTTGTAATATTTGTAACAAATTCTAGCTGTTTATCCTGGAATGTTTTCCGTCCCATAGAAGCGTTCCCTCTAAAAATTTGATTTCTAACTTAAATTGATTTCAACTTACATGTTGGACCAAAACTGAAATCCCAAAAGCGAAGAATAAGAGATGGGGAAATAGGTTTTCGGATGTTTTATGACTTTTCCATTTTCTGAAAGAGAGATAAATATCTCTGTTAATTTTATTTTTTCTCTCCACTAATGAAGATTGTTACATGTACTTTATTCGCCATCTTCTAGCTTGCGTTTCTATGGACATGCGAATGAATTGATATATTTTTTAATCTTTTACCCCAAAGGAATGGATAGTTTTTAATAGCGTATTACGAAGTAATACATTCCTTCAAGATACAATGATAATCATATCACATCCAATTAACAGATAATCCTTCTTCTATTTCTCATCTTCTCTTTTTGAATATTCTTCCGCAGCATCATCTCTCTGATGATTAACTGCAAATTTCCTCCTTTACTTGGAAACAAAAAATCTTTGAAAGAAAGAATATGCATAGTTTCGAATGTCCAAGTTGTATCGTGGGAATGCCATGAGTGAAAGCAACTATTTGATCGTGAGAGCGGTTCTATGTAATTGACTCGATATCAATTTTTCAGAATGTTAAAAATTTCCCAAAATCTTCAAGTTGAACAAAATTCTATCAAATCGTCAAATTTTTGTCGAAGTGGATTGCTTTCATCCACTTTCTGTTTGTTATCGACATTTTGATTGTGAATGTTTTCGGTGGTAGATTTTACTCTCGAACTTTCAAAATTTTTTCCAAATATTTGAAGCATTTTTTCAGCTTATCAGTTTGTTTTCCAGGCATTGATAACATTCTCAAGTATTTTATCGAGAAATGATTGGCATTTTGTTAATAGGACAATTAGAATGTACTGTTGTTGTAGGGTATGATGACGGTTATGATTAGATGATGGTAACTGTTTTCATCACCTATCACCTCACGTTGTGAAGTGAAATTACTGTGTATGTCTTGAATTTTTCTAGTGAAAAGAAAAAAAGGTGGATTCCGATCAGTAATTTTTGTTTTATCTTTTCTATGATTAAGTGAAATAGCATTGTTTACAGGCAGTTGTTATGTTATGGAAGGCGAATACCTATGCACGAATTAGAAGTACGAATCAATGTAAACAATTTTTCTTGTTTTGATTTTTTTTTATGGACATGAACCAATAAATAGAAAGCTGTCAATTTAGCCGGTCCATGTCTTTTAGTAACTTCAGTTTTGTACTACTTATTTTCTGCTGTAATATTCTCAGCGTAGTTTGCATTCTTCTAGTCATAATTAGAGACGGATTTCAAAAATGCTTCTCTTAGTCTTGTTATACGATGAGTGATATTTTCGCTGAGTTTGAGCTTTTATCCATTTTTTTCATGATGCTTCATTTCCAGAATGCTGTTTCGTATTCTTTCAGAGCTTCCGGCTTTATCATATTTTTTCCTTCACTTATGACCATTATTTTTATCACAGAATTAACTCAGTAAAATAATGTTTCAATTTATTTTGATATCGAATTTTTGAAAATTTTAATTTCTAGTCACAGCAAAGGCAGTGAAGGAAGTGTCATCACGCGTTTTCCGGAATAAACCAATTGCTTTTACTGTCGTTGGTAAGTGCAACAGATCTTAATCTCAAGAAAATCACCTTAAAGTTTTCATAGAAACTTGTAGAAATGATTGACAAAACAGGCTTTTCATTCATTTTTCATATCTCAGTTCTTAATAGTGCTTCTTACAACTTATTTCGTCAAATGTGTTTTTTCCCGTCCATCTTTTGTTCGGTATTTAATTCCTGAAATCGATGCTCTGGTTTCACCTGTTTGGTGTTCAATTTTGTCGATTATTTTAAGTGAGCCTCTGTTTTGGTAAGTGATATTATATTTCTTTCATCATTGCCTTATTTATTCCTGACTCATTTCATCGGGGATTTTTGGTGGAAGTACACTGTATAGGTTTGGTTCAGTACTGAAAGCTTCTTGTAATGTTTGTTGGATATTTTTTTCACTTTACTGAGAATTAATCTCTAAGTTAACGGATTACAAACTTTAAATTTTAAAATTAAAATTTTGCTACGTTCTTTTTCTGAATTCCTAAGATTATTCAATCATTTATCCAATCAGTGTAATGGGTCTGCTTTATTTGGCTCCGTGCATGCTGAGTAGGTCAACTACTGATTTTTGGAAAAGTGGGCAAGCTGTTGCCGACTAATTCTTTTCTTCTCTTCACCGATTAATTCGGCTCTTGCTGGTTTACCGACTTATCATCTACTCTTTCTTCAGAATGAAACGTTTTTTGAAAATCAGTTGTAATTATATCTTAATTCAGCATTTGTTGACTATTGCTTACGGACTGTTGGACGAGAGAAAACTTTGTTGTTGCACAAAGTGTACAAGGAGCTAGATTTTTGATACATTCTTCCTTCCCAGTGCAACCGATAGATTGAAGTTGTCAGTTATTGAAGGCAAAAATATGAAAAGAGTGAAGAATTAGATGTAATTTTTAGGTCATTTTTTGGCTTGTAGTTACAGGAATGATTCTTTACTCTTCTTTTTCAAGTAAATATTTTGCTTTTATCATCACTTCAACGCTTGTATGAACTAATTTTTGAAAGTTTTTGAACTTATACGAGTAATTTCGCAATATTGGGAATTGTGTAATATAGGCAATTAGATGAAAAGCAGGATATGTGGAGTTGCTTCGTTTCTTTTGACTTCGAAGTTCATTTCGGGTAGCGATGATGTTATGAAAGAATGAAAAGGTTTGATGAGAGACAAATATGTCGAGAACAGGGAGGAGTAGAATAGTACAACATTGACCCGGATGATATTTAGTAGTGCGGTGAATATCGTTTGCATGACCAGCCGAATACGAGTTTTAAAACATTTTACTTCAGGTTTGCACTATAACACGTTAGTAAGGCTTTTTCTAGCAGGCAGGGAGTTACGCAGATAGCACGAGAAGATGAAGAAGGGAAGTGAAGGAAAACGTGAAGACCACTGTTATTAATAAACGCCGCTTTCTTTGCCATCCTTTAATTGTTTCCGATTGCGATTTTCAAGTCTCACAGTTAAGATCTCTTTGACTCACAACAAAGCATGTAAATTATTGAAGCAGTATCTCATCCATTCTGTATATTTAATGTTATTATTAACTTCGGTTAGCAGCTACTTCTCTACTTTCACGGGGAATTAAACGTTTTGGAAAGCGAAAAAAGAAATTAGTGGTCCTGCCTTTTTTAGTGATCGTTTGCTTAAGTTTAACTGCTTCCAACTTTTTTTTCTCATTCTCATGGCGCATGATGACTAGCAATGATTCCGTAATATCGGTTCAGCCTGGGATTTTTTCCGAAAACTTCAAATAATCTAGGAAGCTGGCTGGTTATGCGTCAGATGAGCTTGGTTTGAGGATGGAGCTCATCTTGCGCATTTGTCCAGGAGCAGTCATGTATAGGACACACTTGGGCGCGATCATGTCGGTGCGCTGAATACCGGCTCACCTCAGTGGTTATGGGAAATAAATGGTTTGGAACATCATATATTCCAGTAGTACTGTTTGGTACCGGGAAATCATTCCGTATCAGTTTACAGTAATCAAGAACCGACCATACTTATTGTTTTGCGTACTATCCAATATGTCATTCTGGGAGGCGTTATAAATTAAATCAAAGATAATATGATTTGATAAGAGCCACATCTGATTAATCTTCTGCCGCTACAAAATCTGTCCATTAATTTTCTTTAGTTAGTCGACCTGTTTCTTTTTATGTCAACTTATCTATCCTTATTATTTTGTAAATTTTGAGGAAAGATGAGCCTTATATACAATATGAAAGTTTGATATGTTAACAGAATTTCGATCGTGATAGTAAATCAAATACTTACATGAGGAAACAATTGGAGCATGTTTCAGGACGAACGCACGATTGGCCTTCATCTGATTACATCGAGAATCGATTGAAATGAGATGAAATTAGGTGATTCTTGCGTTTCTTTGTTTATTACGGTCACTGTTGCAAGATTTGACTGAATTTTATGGAAACAGAATTTTTGTGATCTTGCAATACCACTCATCGTTTTGCTTGCAAGTTTTTGAAGAATAAAGGTGCAAACAAGTGCTTTCTCACTACCCAGACACAACAAGGATATACTGCTGAGTCTGATCCTGAGGTTTGGTAATATCAGCAGAGCTTTATGTGTTCTTGTCAATTTCTTACATCCACCATTTGCTCTCCAGTTTACGTTATCTTCCCGTTTGCTTTTTCTGTTCCTTCCTTCCAAACAGCACAATTGCAATTCATCCATCTTCGTATCATCCGATCGTCATTGTTCGGACGTACCTGAATTACGTCGTCCCTACATTGAATTACATCTTTGATTCTATTTATCAACATTTTCCGGTTTCTTTTATTCCATAACCGTAATAGCTTCCTATAAGGTGTAAATATATGGTGCACAGTACATCATGTCGGTTTTGCTGACGGGTAATTGTAACTTGGCATCTTCGTCATTTTTATGTATCAGTTCTGGTGTAGATACTCGTGCGACAGTTACTTCGCCACATTCAGAGGCTGTTCGCAGATCATACTCTATTTCATCCCGCCAAAGTTGTGATGATCGTGGTGGTAAGCAAAACGACTCAAACGCGGTATGGATGTCAGTCATCAGAGAAACGTCCGCTGCACCTAGTAATGAGGCAGGAAAAAATGCGAATAAGGTAGTAACTTCCGTATCTGATACATGGTTAAAACGGATCAAACGGTTCTACAAATCGCTCCATCTCAACTATTTATTCTCATTGGCATTCATGATGTTTTACATGTTCCTTGGAGCACTGTTATTCCTTTGGCTTGAGGGAGCTTCAGATCAGGCTCGAAAATTGCATGAATATAAATTTTATATTCATGAAAGGGAACACTTCCTCAAACAACTCGATGAAATATACAATGTTAATGCATCTAAGCAACGGAAACTTATGTTGAAAGAAGCTGTTGACTATTTACATCGGCAAATTGGAGTTTCATTTAATAATCGGTCGGAATGGTCCCTTACAACTGCTTTGTACTATTCTGGTACGATTCTCACAACAATCGGTTTGTTTTTTGCACTATAACCTGCATTAAGTTAAATTTGTTTAAACTTTTTGAAATCGATTGAAATGGTTTTATGACATAGAATTAGCTGCTTAGTATTACAAGATTGCTATCATCAGAATCTATGTAAGGTTTTATGGTTTTTTCGTCATAATTAATTTGAATTTATTAATTAGTTAGATTTGACAACTAATTCCTGACTCGCACTTGATGAAATTCAATGAGTGATTGAAGAGTAAAATCGCAGGAATTTCACAGAATTGATATTTATCCACCCTATTTGAAATTAGTATCAGGGAAGAAGTGTTGATGAAGTTTGTAAACTAAAACAATTGATAGTAAAAAGTAGAGATTTTGCATGATAATGCTGGGTTTGCTAAGGAATAGCGGGAAATTAATGGTATAAAATTTAAAAATTTTATAAATTTTACGAAATGATATTTTTCAATTTCCTTCATTCATATTTATAACAAATTATTTCTCACAAATCAAAAACACGTACAATTTATGAATAAAAAATCGCAATAATAATTGATAAATTATAATAATTTTTAAAATTTATTTATTTATTTTTTTGCCTTTTTCTTCATAAGAGACATTGTATGGTAAGCAAATAATGCGTGATTTATAATTCGATCTATGATAAATTACAAATGGATGCATTTTTATCTTGCTAATAAATTTTGTTAAAATTCGCTTAATTTATACGTTTCATAAAGATGTTTAATTGAATAATCTGCCTCCGTGATTCCTTATTTTTCTTCTGTTTTTAATTTCAATTCATTAATTTAAATCTTTCAGTTATAATTACTTGCTCCAGTGATTGTTTCAGTCAGCTGTTGCGAGAAACTTTTCATTATTTGCTTACGATTTCATTCGGAAAATGATTTATGGTACAATACATTTTGTAAACTTTATGGATGCAGCTGACGCTTATTGTTAGCAAAGTCTTTCTAAAAAAAAAAAAGAAAAAGAAAAAAGTTTACGATTTAATCAATTCAATTTCATTAATAATTACTAGCCACTTGATGATACATAATTGAAATTGAAATACTTAGGACTTAGACTTAAGCAGCTTAGACCAGAATTTTGAATTTAAAAAATCAGCTTTTTTTCTCTCAAAAACAAAAACAATTTTTTTTCTTTTATTTAGTTTTTCAAAATTATGTTTGTTATATATATATATATATATATATATATATATATATATATATATATAGTA